TTCTATGTGAAAAGCATTTTTCATTTTCTTATATTCATATATGCTTCTTCCATTTTGTAAAATACCAACAAATCCTCCCTTTTTCCACTGAGACACAGGTAGTTCAGTCTGCCTGTCCCTAAAGCAATGTCAGGGAATAGCTGTTGCAAGACTTTCCTGTTTTGTTTTTAGAACCTCATATTGGGACAAATAATAAGCTATGTTGTCAAGATGGTTTATATAGCAGAAGGTTTACTGTTAGAAGGTATTATTATCTTGTATTTAATACATAATTTTCCTTCTTGTTGTAGTTGTGTATGAACATACACTAATTTTTAATTTTCAGATAGCAGATTCTAGGTGTAGATAGTACTCTTCCAGACTTTTTACAGCTGAACCCCAAACATTTTTAAGTCTAGGGATTTTTTGGTTTATTCTTCATTTTTTTGTCTAAATTAGCAGAGTGATTCTGAGGAGAAAATGTAGAATGAGATGTATGTGCCTTAAATAAAATATGTAACTAAGAGATAATTTTTTGTTCTTTGAAGTAATTCAGATTTGTGTGGATTTGTCAAAAGTGTCAAAATCAACTATAACTAGTTCACCCTAAAGTTTGCTACATATTAATTTTAAGCATTTTCAAATTTAGAGGCTGGACTTATTCAGGTCAATATAATTTTTGATATGTCAAAATGCAAGATAAGGGCATTTTTTAAATGTTTGTAGTCATGAAGTTATCGCCCCCTTTATGTTATAGGATGTCCTGTTTGAAACAAAGATTCTGCCAAGAATTGTTTCAGATTTTTTGGATGGAGTATTTTTCAAATCTATTTGTAGCCATTGAGATGCTCTTCATGAAAATCTCAGTTTTGACAAGAAAAAACGCATATGAAGTATTTTGAAGGGTTGACATTCCTGGACTAGAACTTTTCATGTTTGATTCCAAAAAAGCACTACAAATAGCAATTTTCATGAAAGTTATGTCACCTCATGTATAAAAAGGTTACTTTACTTGCCAAGAGAGTTATTGAACAGAATATTGATCTGAAGTGTAGCAGTTATCAGCCAGCTATAAATGGGTTGTGTGGCAAGGTTTTGGTAGCAAGGAGAGGGAGACAGGGCTACAGGGGTGGTCTCTGTGAGAAGCTGCCAGAAACTTCCCCCATGTCCAACAGAGACAATGCCAGACAACTCCAAGACACACCTACTGCTGGCCAAATTGAGGCCATCAGCAGCAGCTCTGGAATAACATATTTAAGAAGAGAGAAAAAATGGGGCAGAAACAGCAGCTGAAGAGAGGAAACATCTCTGAAATACCAGGGGCAGCGAGGAAGGATGAGGAGGAGATGTTCCGGGCAGCAGAGCAGAGATACCCCTGCAGCCTGTGGTGCAGACCATCGTCTGGCAGCTGTGTCCATGAAGCCCTTGGAGGTCCATGGGCTCCTGCTGCCCACAGACAACCCCACACTGGACCAGGTGGATGCCCCAAAGAGGCTGTGACACCGTGGGAAACCTGTGCTGGATGAGGCTCCTGACAGGACCTGTGGGCCCATGGAGAGAGGAGCCAGTGCTGTAGCAGGCTTGCTGACAGGACTTGTGACCCCATGGGGAACCTGCACTGGAGCAGCCTGTTCTAGAAGGACTGCACCCCATGAGAGGCACCCACACTGGAGCATTCATGAAGAACTGCACACTGTGAGAAGGATTCACAAGGCAGAAGTTGTTGGAGAACTGTCTCCTGTGGGACGGATGCAATGCTTCCAAAGAGCCTTCCCGTTTCAGGTGGACATTCAGTCAGTAATAAGGATCTGGAAGAAACAAGCATTTCTGTGAAACAATTGGCTTGACCCAAAGCTACAGTAGTAGAAAGGGGACAAGTTTTGAGCCATTTTTGCTTCAGCCTCTTTCATGGGCCATCGAATGGAACGTATTTTGCAAAGACTGTCTCTCCTTCGTGGCTCAGCTGAAGGTCAGGATCACATGGCAAACTGATACATGTTGAGGTCAAAGAGCTAGGACAGGAGAGGGTTTGCTAAGTCTTAATTTGACAGCAGTCTGTCATCTCAGCTCTAAGTGACATAAGGTTAAATCAAGTACCTCAGCTTATAGTAAGAAAACAGCTACTGTTTTTTCTATGTATCAATGCCCTGTCCAGTTATATGTCATCTGTCCTCTTGTGTCCATCCTGTCTCCCTTCCCGTTATCATTGTCTCTTATTGGTGTCCCTTCCCCCTGCCTCCATTATTACTTGCTTCATATTCCTTCTAAGAAGGTTTTTCAGAGTTATTCTGCAAACCAGTTTGGCATTTCAGAAAGTGACCCTGCCTTTGAGACACGTTATGTCTATAAAAGTACATACCAACATGTTCAAAACTCTGACACCTTAGCGTGGAACCTGATGGGGTATTACTACTCTCCAAAAGGGCAGGCAATTGAACTTCCCATCCTTGAGACACCAAATTCAAAGCAACTTTTAACACTTTGGTCCCTTAGCTCAGCTATATTTGAATGCATAGTTTTCACCATATAGACTAAAATTGCTCCACTGTTTACATGTTCATATTGAAGTAACAAAGGAAACTGACTGTTGCTTTTTGTTTTAGTCTTCTGATAGTTGACAGATTTTTTTACATTTTCTCACACTTTTTTCTAAACAATGATTGTTTTGCATTCCTCTTTGGAGGAAGAGAAGATTGACGGACGGGTGATGGGGCCAATGGAGTTAAGAGGTCTTATCCTCACTGCCCAGTCCATGGTTGTTGTTGGAATTCTATAAATAGACATGTAATGTAAATAAAGTGCTCCTTTTACTGCATGAATCATCGGAGTCAAAAGTGTGAGTCTCTCTCTCTCTCTCTCTCTCCCCATCATAATGACCACAACTGACCTTCCATGCTATTTTATAACACGAATATAGACACTTAACAGTAGAATATTAATAAAGTCTGGTTGCAACTGGAACAAACCCCCCTGGGCATTCATATGCTGCTTCTGGTGAATCTGCAAAAGGTGACCAGGAAGAAAAGCCTTTGTAAGTTTCAAATAGTTCTAAAAGGATTTGCACTTTCAATGGGAAGGAAAAATTAGGTGAAAAACATATTTTTTAATTGTTTCAAATGGGGGGGGGGGTGGTATGGCAAATCTATAACAATCACTCAGCAATATTTGTGACAATCTGTGTTGCATCCAGACGCTGTAATTCAATTCCATCAATTTAATGTTCATAAAAACGAGCTACATGAGAACAGTAGAAAGAGAACTGGAGAGAAATCTTTCAGATCTGACTTCAGAGCTCTCGCCTTGCTTAGTTGGTATCTGGTGAACAGTTTCTTGTGGCTCTATTTATAGCTGCAGTTTCAGCTGAGCTGCTTTTTATAAATGGGCTTGCTATCTCTCTGTGCTCGGACTAAATACTGAAAAGCACTTGCACAGTGGCAAGCAGATCTCTGCTTAGGAAGCTGATGTGAGGCAGCTGTTGGATTTTCAATTCCACTGCTCGCTTACACTGTGCTAATTTGGCCCATGCTACAGAAAGAAGAGGATCTTAATTGGTAGAGGGACATTATTAGATAAGCAGATGGAAATTGTCACAAATGATTAAAAAAACCACCCACACCAGTCTGCAGATTATAAAGCGTTCATGCTACCAAAGAAGCAGAAGTCTGTATTATTCAGTGGATTTGTGAAGGGAGAGTGGCAGCTACATAACAGGGATGAGACTTTTGTAGACTTGAATTATTGCTTGAAACAATCAGTTGTGAAGATTTCTAGTACTCTGAAAGTTGGGGGATTTAAAATAAATTTTGGATGTTTGGTAAAATTCAAGATGCTTGGGAGAATGGTGTTGTGAAAGTGCTTACCAAAAGATACTGGTAGCAATAATAATAGTAATGCTGTGTCTACAGGACAGTAGCTGTGCAACTGTGGTTACAGAAAACAAAGGTAAACTAAACCAAGCCACTCGCAGATCCCAAAGGACCACAGTAAGAAGCAGCATTGGCATAGTTAGATATATGTATTGAACCAGGAAAACCAGGGGGTGAATATCAAAACTAGGAGCCACGTGCTACTTAGGGCAGAGCAGTTTTACAGTCAGTCTGAGATTTACACCCAGGAGACACTTATTTTCAGTGTTCCAAACACAAATAAGTATGTGAGAGAATTTTCCAACTGCATTGCCTGAAATGGCTGAGCATCCTATGCTGGATTCTGCACTTGGGATGTGTCAACCCTGGGTGTACGTACAACCCAGGGAATGTGAAGCTGTAAAGCAGTGCCGTGGAAAGGCACCTGGGGGTTCTGGTCCATGACAAGTTGACCATGAGCCAGCAGTGCCCTGGCAGCCAGGAGAGCCAACCCTGTCCTGGGGGCATCAGGCACAGCATCAGCAGCCAGGCAAGGGAGGGGATTGTCCTGCTCTGCTCTGAGCTGACCAGGGACAGGACCCCAGGGAATGGGCTGAAGCTGTGTCAGGGGAGATTTAGCTTGGGTATTAGAAAAGGTTCTTCACTCAGAGGGTGGTTGGGCATAGAATAGGCTCCCCAAAGAAACGGTCACAGCACCAAGCCTGACAGAGTTCAAGAAGCATGTGAAAGCCTGTGCCCAAAGAGGTAAGCTGCTCTCCAAAGAGATGCCCACACTCCTAAAGACACTGGCTCCTCATCCTGGTGAAAATTCCATGCTGTGGTGTGATTTTATTCAACTCAGACACTGAGAGGGGGATATGGGGCCTAGCGAAAGCTGTCACAGCAAAAAAGTCGGCCAGCCTTTGCTCTAACCGCCTTCCCCAGCTTCCCAGGGCACAAAGGACCAGGGAGCTGGAGCCGCTGCATAAGACTGAGACCCAAACTCCACTATCGGGTGCCCAGGAATTCGCACTTCAGGCTTGACAGAGCTCAGCGGAACGCCCCGAGTGCCCGAGCCCCCGAGCCCAGCCGCCCCGGGGCCGGCTCCTGCCGGGCTGCGCAGCCCCGGCGGCGCGGTGCCCTGAGGGCGTCGCCGGGTAACGGCGGCCGGGCAGCATGGCCGGCCCTGGCCCTGGCCCTGGCCCTGGCCCCGGCACGCCGGGCGGCACCGGGACGCGCTTGGCGCAGGACGCGCTCGACAAAGCGCCGGGGAGACGGCGGCCTGCACTCGCTTCCTTCTCCGCCTTCAGCTTCGTCCCGCCCAAACGGGAAGGGCCCCCGGAGCTCAGCTATTTCAACCGGCCGCACAAGGTAGGGGAGAGAGGGGAGCGAGGCGGTGACTGGCAGGGAGGAGGGCAGGGGGGAGGGAAAAGCATTCCCCGTGGGTCTCTGCGTGCTGTAGGCCCGTTGCTCGGGACTGGTGCAAAGGCTCGGCCCTCATCAAGGGAGCTGGTTAGCCAGGTGCTAAAAATCGTCGTAGCATTGTAGAATGGCTTAGTTTGGAAGGGACCTTAAACATCATCCAGTTCCAACCTCCTGCCATGGGCAGAGATTCCTTCCGCTCACTAGAGCAGGTTGATCAAAGTCCCATCCAAAATAGCCTTGAACACTGCCAGGGATGGGGCATCCGCAAGTTCTCTGGGCAACCTGTTCTAGTGCCTCACCACACTCACAATGAAGAATTTTTTTCTAATGCAGAAAAGTGGTGCATAAATCTTTATCACTAGTCTTTCTAATGCCAAAATAACATGTTTCACTATCAGAGGCCTTTGCAAAGTGTGTTTGCTACTTGTGGAGGGCAAATGAGAGTAAGGTCTTTCACTGGATAACAAGAGAAGGCAGAGACATTGTTTGCCAAGGATTGAGGATGAGCAGGCCACTTGGTATCAATGAAATGTGAGGCATTTTTAGGAGGAACACTAGGAAATAGGTCACTAGGGTTTGATGCAGCACCAGTGGATTTTATCGTAACACACACTCTTGGGAATCCATTTTCATTTGAGGGAAAAGATTTTCCATGTACATTGCATAAATTTTATGCATGGTCAGTTTTAGTAAAATCAATAGAGCTACTCAATAACATCAGTATATGCTCCCATAACTGAATGCTTCTGAAGGTGTTACACTGCCACTCAATATGTAGTTACTCAAGTGTGCTGGCAGGGGCCTCACTCCTCACTCTGCAACATTATGTCACCATTGTTCCTTATTCTGTCCTCATATTTAAAATCAGAAATGAAAACAATCTTACACCTTCTGCCTCAGCTGAGCTACAGTTCCTGGGTTGTGAACTTTTCTATGAAGTGTCATATGAGACACTGGAGTTAACAGGCTTTTTTTCTCAAGAAAAAATAATATAACAAAGTTCTGAATTGCCTATTATGTCAGTGTAACATAGCAATGCTATGGCAATTTAATCTCACCCAAGTGACAAGTTGCTGAATGTGCCAAGCACCAGCTGGCACTGCTTGGTGGTTTGTGAGTTTGTAGGTCCTGTGTCCCTGGAATGTGGGCAGAGCACACACCAGAGCACTGTGCTGGGCATTAAAAGAACAGCAAATTTCCTGCACTGACCAGGTGGCCCTGCTAAAAGACAAGTAGATTTTTAATATCAGACTCTTTTGTGTTGATTCCAGCATTACCTTGGCAAGGTGTTCTGACCCAAAGGTGAGTGGGCACAGTTGGTGCCATGCTTCACAAAACAGTAGGGAGAGCACAACAAGAGTAAGGCAGGGGCAGGTCAGAGGGATGGCATGGTGCTCTTGGGGCTGGTGGAGCTCACTAGTCTGCACAGAATTAGCAGCCATATGGTAGAGCTTTTCCTTACAATATAGTCTGCTTTCACCCTCTGAGCAGCCTGGTTTGTAAAAAATGCTGCTCCAGTGGCATGGAAACAAAAAGTGATAATAGCTGTTTAATAGGTTTCTTCACAGCCTAGGCCTTGGCCACAGGAGTGGAAACAGATTCAAACCATTCTTCTGCACAATTTAGGAATTAGATAATTTGAATATGTTTATTTTTAGAGCAAACGGAATCTTATTCCTTTTTGCACCTTAAATACCTAAAACCAACCGTGTATCAGAACTGAAGCAGAGAGAAGTAGGAAGAAGATGGGCTCATCACATGGCCAGAAGCCAGAAATTCCTGCATTTTAATCCCTTGGCTGACAGTTGCTCCCTGGATTGCTTTACATAATTTACCTTAGCCAGTGTGCCTGGTATTTCCTCTTCTGAGATGTGGAGAAAGCTATTACCTATTTTATGTGTGTTGGGAATACTAATGAATGCTTGCAAAGCATTTAGCTTTAGCAGCAGTACACAGAGGATGCCTACCCAGAGTGCACATTTATCATCAGCTCTGTGTGACTCACTCGTTCTGATGGGTTTGAGAAGCAGCTCGCCACCACCACAACCACCACCGCCCAGGCTAACCAAGTTATCATTTACAACAAAGAGAAACAGCAGCAGGAAGTTATCAGTGCATTGAGCAATACAAATCTGGCAGAAAATCTTAAACAGGTATCTGGGACAGATCTAGTTTTTGAGGTAACAGGCTGGCTGACTATCTGCGAGTTCCAGAAAGGATGATTTATCTGCTCTGACATGAGCAAGAAATGACACTTACTCTGAAACGAGCAACAAATAATGCCCCATGATTACCAGCAAAGAGCAAATAACATTTCTGGTGGTGAGTACGAATTGAATGCCCACTGAATGAAACTGGTAGCTTGGGGAGGAAAGGAGAAGCAAGGAAGCACAGAAATTATCATGGAGATGATAAATCATGTGCAGGGTGCTCTTCAACATGCCTGAAATCCTCTGAAACCCGATGGTTCTGAGAAGTGAAGAGATAGATAGATAGATTGAATACAAAATAATCTCTCCTCTTGGCAGAACCAGGTATTGGAGATACCTTTACAAATAAAGCCTGAAAATACAGCAGTGTCTCACTAGTGCTCTTAACAATGGTTTCCTTTTAATGGAGCCATGACAAGCTTCTTGACCTGCCTTGACTTGACTATATTTGGAGAATACCAATACTGTAATTTGAAAGACTCAAAGTACATGAGATTTTCAAAGGTTAAATTGGACACACTGTAAAATTAGAGGAGAAAAAAAGCCCAATAAAATGCACGATTCTTTTAGTCAGCCATGCACAAAGCCAATGATAATTGACATGTTTATCAGAATATGGGCCTTTTAATGAAGTTTAATAACAACTGGCAGCATATTTCAGTAGGGGATTTTGGTTTTATTTTTTTTTCTTTGAAATTTTTTTTCAGTTTTGAAATTGCTTTTATTCCATTTATGAGAACTTCTTGATTGCATTTCACAAATGGCTTTGTTAGAAGAGCAGATCTTTTATGTTGCTTATTTGGATGCAAACTATGTCAATAGTTGAACAACAATATTATGGCTTGAGATGTGCTTTATTTTCATGCCTGACATATGTGTGTCATGCATACAACTAGATCATAGGATTGCCACTGTGGCATGTTTCTCAGTTTTGCTCTAATCAGAAATTAAATTAAGTTTACAGTGCAGGATACCTTTGTCTTTTTGAAAGTTCCTGTTTTGCTTGTACATAATTGTGCCAGATCATTTGACAAATACACAGATTTAGGAAGGAGAATATTAAGTGCAGAAAATTAAAACAGATCAGTTAAATTTCCAAGAATTACAACACATTACATGGGGGAAAATTAAGTAAATTGCCACAAGGGAAATTTCAGAGCTGAACAAATTTAATAAATGCTACCACGTGCCATTAGGTAATTTTGCAAACTATTCAAAAGGACTTGCCCAAACTTCCTAATGAGGTCTTTAATATTAGACTACAGTTGTCATCATCTAATGCAATATATGCACTATTTAGGTATTGATTTGACTACATGTATTCTGTAATCTGTGAAGTAAAGAAATTCTGTGAATTAGCCATTTTTTCCCCTTTTCTCAAGACAGGAGATTTTTTCACCTATGATGCCGTTTTTAAAATACCAGAAGGTTATGATCAGTATCTTCCGCAATGTGACAGAAAACACGCAAAGGGTCGTGGCCTTAAAATTCATGAGGAGGTAACCCTTTGATAAATTCGAAATTATCTTTGTTTAAAGTGTTTTGTACTTTTTGACATGACTGGAGGCTATAGGCATTGTTTTACCCTTTGTAATGTAGCCCATATGGTAAGAAAGGAATTGGAAGGAGGACATCATTATGCTCAGCCTTCAGGTTTAGGAGAAAGCATTATCCCATGAAGACACCCTAATTAGCTCTTGTTCTTTCATATCCTGAAGATTTCCAGGTGACAAGACATATGCAAGTTAAAACAAGGGGGAAGAGGCAAATCCTGTCTTGCAGAGTGTAGGGTGTACTCTGAACCATCTGTGCCTCTCAAGAGTTGTACTTCAGGTGATTCTGCAGTTATTTCCATGACATTTAAAAACTCTGCTCCCTGAGAGGACTGGATTCAGAGGCCATGACTTCATGGCCATGACTGTCCTCTGACACCCACCCTCTCTATGCCAGCATTTGCTGTGAAAGCCCAAGGCTCTGAATCTGGTGAGTTTGTTAGTAAAACCTTCACCAGACTGCCCTGCAGGAAGGAAGTTCATAGGGAGCTAGTGTAAAGGTGTGATCAATCAGAACACATGGGCATGCCTAGGAAAGAATAGGCAAGTATTTGAGGCCAGCAGAATCTGGGTTTGATGTGCAGCCCCATAGGCAAATACTCCATTGGAAACAGAAATACTATAATATATATGCATAAATGTATGTGTATGTATTTTTGCATGCAGCATCTGAATAATACACATATATACAAGTGTCTGTGTATAAAATTATATTTATACATACATGCACAATACTGCACATAGAGGCAGAGGCTATCAAAAACCAAATGAAATGTAACCTCTGTGTACTAATGACCTCAAAATCCCAATAAGTTCATGGGATGTAAGAGTGATGAGTAGGCTAGGGATAGCTGCCCACTTTGATGGTTATATATTATAGAGAAGGAAGAAGGAAGAGTGACACAAGAGTACAAATTGCTCTAATTTCTGTGCAATAAAATTGGTTTTTTCTGACAAAGCCCACTGCTTGGTATTTGTCTCACTAGCAGTTATATATGCCAGACATTTCTGTGCAAATGTGTAGCCATAATGCCCTTCAACTCTATCAGACAGTGCAGGAAGTTTTAGATGCTCCCAGAGGAATCCCAGGAGTGCCCATTAGCATCACCTGCTCATGCATAATAACTCAACTGCAAATCTGTGTATGTATGTAAATGGCTACTCCAATTAGACATTAAGTTTTTTATTTAAACAAAACAAAGACAACCTCCCTCCCCTACTACCAAGCCCAACGTCGAAGTGGGAAATCTGTGTAGAAAGTTCATCAATATAAAGTTACGGCTTTTTACTGAGTTTTGTATTAACAAAACTCACTTTCCTGTTGGTTTTCTTCCTAGTGCAAACTTGTATGGGCCAGAATTCATACCAGCTCTGCTGAGCAGTGCACACAAGGGACTGTGCAAACAGGTGTCCCTTAATCCAGCCCTTTAATTAGCATGGAGACACATAAAACCCACAGCTATTTAATACTACAATGTGATCCTCCTGCATGTGATGACACCCAGCACTGGATGTAACCAGTGCAGGTCACATACTCAATCTCTCTTTAATTATCACAATGCACCTGTCAGGCTTTATATAATAATAACTATATAAAATATAATAAATAAAAAACCCACAATTGACATCTTTCTAGTACAACACTGAAAGCAGACAGACTGAAGCCACCATAATATACTATAGGAATCTCTACTTTGGGACGGTCGGGACAAACTCAGGCTCTCTCTTTATTCTGGTCTTAAAGTTTGCAGTTTATTTCGTAGGGCGTGGGTTTATACAAGGCGCTGCTAGGAACTGCAGCCACAGTTCAGAGCAGGGTGAAGAAAGGGATAGAGTGAGAGTAAAAGAAGATAGCTTAAGAAAGTAAGAATAAAAAGAGTAAGAGCATAAGAGAGAGATTTTCCCGTTTACAATACATTAAATCTTCTTCTATGTTGAATATTCTAATTTCCACTAACCAATCTAATACAAGATACAAATTTTCTAACATTTGCATGCAACCTATAGGAATCACCATATTACCATGTTTTACTGCTTTTCTTATCTCTACATTTTATCTGTGACCCTTCCTGCCATGCCTACGGAGGATGTCTGTTTGCTTCTTGGTATTTGCAGCATCTAACATTATCTAAACAAAGGAGCCTTCAGGCATTCAGTTGCTTTCAGCCACACAGTCGAAAGTTGCTACCATTTCTATTTCGCTTATATTTTCCATATTCTCAAAGTCTTTTGCTAGGCACTCGTATTTATAAGGTTTCCCTAATTCATCCTTCCCAACAGTATACTACTTTACTTGAAGTGGAAAAAAACACACCACTGCAAGTAAGTCCCTCGTTTCCTGCAGGTAGCCTGGGTGCACTCAGGGAATTCAAGAGAATAGTGACAGGTATTCAGTTTAACTACATGCAGCTGAGTAACTGCAGTGGAGTGCCTGCACAGGGCTGCCATTGCTGGTTCCAAGTGCTAACAGTCCTAGAATTACACACTGCGAGGGCGGGTAGCAGGATCCTTCCCAGCCAACTGTTGGAAAATCTGAAACCCACTGAATGCCAAACCCACAAAGATGAAATGCCAGTGTGCGCAGTCAGCAGTGTGCTACCAAGGATGCTGAAAACTGAATCTTATTTATTTAAAAGGAACACAAAACTATTGGAATTACATACTGCTGCCTGTCATTAGCACTGTAAACTCTGAATTTCTAGAATAGACTTTCTTAATGCTACAAAGATGTTTTAGTTTCTCATTTTTTAACATTTATCCACAAGTAGGGCAGGGGAGAAAATTGTGTTAATTTTGGCTGCGAGTCTTCTTGACTTGATTTTCATTCTGCTGGGGTTGAAAGTTAGTATAATAATGAATAGCTTTTAATAAGATGGAGTAAGGTAGGCAGGAGAACTGGGGTATAAATGGTTGTTTTGAAATGAGCTTTTCTATTGAGCTAGTTAGTTAGTTAGCTTGTTTGTTTGTTTGTTTTTAAAAAGAGTTTACAGCATCTTTCCAAGAACCTCAGGTTCTGTCCTTGAGGCTGGAAATCTCTTAGCTGACTGCTCTGCTGTGAGATCCCTCCAATCTGTGCTCCCACCTGCATCCTTGCAGGACATAAGTGTTGATTTGCTCAGACTTGTGTCTGTTGTAGCAAAGAAGTCATTTGCTTGCACTTGAACTATGGTGTGGCATCTGCATTTTTATTCTCCTTTTAGGTACTATTTATATTATAGGACTAGAAAAGCACATTGCAGACTAAAGCTTACTGTGTTAGTCAGTGTGGAAACATGCAAGCAGCCTGATAAATCTGAGACCTTTGGCTAGGGAAAGAAAAACAAACAAATCCTGTCTTTCCCTTCTGATTCGGTAGCTCCCTGTTGCTGTTAACACAGGAAGGAACTGCAGATTGCAGATAGTGATTGCACAGACACCTAAAGTGCAGCTTACTAAGAACAAGCTTAAAATCTTTTCTTGGCCTGGTTATTTTTCATCAAGTCCACTTTCCATTATTGCAAAGCAGTTATTTCTGTAATTTTACAGCTACAAGTATTTTTAGTAAAACCTTTCATTGTGCAGAAATAAAGTATATGCTTTATTTCCTTCAGGGAAAGCTTGCTTGAACTAGTGGTCACTCAGGGTTTTTCTTTAGCCTTTGATTTTTTGCTGTGCTTTCACTGAATTGTGCAAACGGGGTAGGTGTTCCTGTAAAAGGGGGCACAAATCTCTCCTATTTTTCAAATGAATCATGCAACTCAGTGCACAAGAAAAAATAAAAATAAAATCTGTGCTTTTCTGGCATTTAATTTGCCAGTAATCACATGGTAATCACGTGTGCTTGTATGTACTTGTAAAAATTTATCACTCCATACCACAGCTCCATATCTTATCATCTTGTCCTCTAGTGACACATTTATGGTTTATTAAGATAAAAATAACATAAAAAAACTAGGGTGGGGATAGAAAATAAAGGGCACTAAACAAATACACATCCATATAACAGATGCTGTACAGTTCTGTCAGTTATTTTACTCCTGGCCACAGCACATTTAGCAATAGAAAACTGCCATGTTTTCTGTTCATCCTGTGATTTCCTTCTGAGGTGACTTTTGTGTTTTCACAGGAAATGGCAAGAACCGTTCCTGTGCGGACATCTTCAGAGTATGGGAAGCGCATACATGAGCCCTTAGACCCAGCAACCAAAGAGCATGTAAGGGTTCATAGCCTGCATGCAGCAATCTATGGGGAAGGCAGCCGCCCTGCTCATTGAAAAACCCTTCTCCAGGCCTGGATCCATGGGAAATCTCTTGTATCTGTCATTGCCAGCGACATTTATCTGGGAGGAAAAAAAAAGCAACGCTTTGAAAAGCAATATGGTGCTTTTGCCTTCTCTTCTACAGTTTAGCTAATGAGAATGATCGGGATTAAAAATAGGGTGAAATAGCAGCTGCACTTTTTCTCATGCTAATTAAAATGCATGTCTTCTCCTTACATTCTCATAAAAATCGCATGAAGAGCAGCACCAACAAGAGGTTTTTAGAACATTTTAGGGAGGAACACTGGGAATGAGACCTGTTGGTCAAAAGCTGTGTCTGCAATTTTGGGCATTGCTTCTACATAACCATTCACAGAACTAACATTTAAGCAAGTTTGTCCCTCAAGGTATCAGTGGTCACAGATTTTTCAATCCTTACAGAGTTGCTAGAGAATCGTGAGATATTGTTTTATGTGCACAACAGCTGAAATGGATATTCAGCTCAGAATTTTCAAAAATGTATGGGTTCATGTGCTTAGCAGTTTCAGTAGACTTCAAGTGGAACTCGAGTTAAAAGGAACTTCTGAGCATTTAGCATTTGAAGAGACAAAATCTGTGTTTAGCTGAATTCAGACATTCATTTCACTGACTTTCACTTTAAATCTGTGTCTGACAGATTTCACAAGAAAAATTATCATTGGTTCTGTACCCAATCTGAAAATAATGGAAAAAAAGACTAAGTAATACTAGCAGAACAGCACTAAACAATTTGGTAGAAAGAGTGAAAAAAACACAAGGATTTGAGTCATTTTAAAAGCATGTTCAGCACAAATGTCTAAATCTGCTTAAACATCTAATGCCTTGTACTTTCACAGAATCCAGTACTAAAATTTTAAGGTAATTTCAGGAGGGGTTTCTCTTGCAGAGTATGCATCATTTTGGTTCTCAAAAGCCGTTGATCCTGTTGTTTAAAGCTGAGGGAGTATTATTCAGAGAGGAACAGCTAGAGTGATCATACCAGAAAAAGGACTGGAAGTCCACCGCTGTGACTGAAACTGGTTTTGTCAGGTATTTAGACACAGGAAATCTGTGTCATTTATAAATACAGTGAAGCACCTAATGAAAAAAAGAGAAACAAAAAAGCTTCTTAATCCGGGGCCTGAATAAGTAGCAAATTAGGCAATCAATAGCACTGTTTGGCATGATGTGAGAAGAAGAGTACATAGAGCAGCCCATTCTGAGAGGTATTTCTTACTTTCATTATTCATGACCTGAAGTTCTTCTACACTAAAATGGGCTACAGACAAAAGGACATTGATGGCTATATTCCTTTTCAAAAGTAAACACTTCACTAAATAAATTCAGCAGCATTAAATGAAAAGAATATAAGAACAAAGGGAGAAGGAAATGTTTTCTAATACCACAACGCTTTTCTAAAAATCAGTATCAAAGTTGTACCAGTAAAGAATGAGATGGAATACGGCCATATTCTTAGCAGGTTATTTTTACTTCGGGACAGTCAGTACAAATTGCTTTTTTTAAGTAGCCTTACTATATTTACAAACCATCTGTGTTCGAAAAACTATTGGATATCAAATTTGTTTGAGAATACTACCACCTTCTGGCCTGTGTGAGAAATAGGCATCACTTCCACCACAAATAAAGTCAAACATCAAAACCAGTTGGAGTTTTCTTATCACATTTCTTTGCTTATGTCACACCCTTCTCATCCCTGCTCAGTTTTGAAGGTCTTTCACAGGTTGTTCCTCCCACTTGAATTGTTTCTTGTTCAGTTCTGAATGGTTCACTTCTTCCTTCAGTGCTCAGTGTCAAAAGAATACCCTGACAATTTCTTCTGTATTAGCAGTAAGTTCCTTATAAATGTTTGCAAAGCCATTTCAGCTGTTCTCCTTTGATTTCTCGCTTGCTAGAATGACAAATTCTTAGGTTATTGATGTTCTGAGCTTACTATTACATTGTTGGAGAGCATCTCATTACCATTTGGTACTCCTTCACCTGTCAATGTTGACATACTACTGTGAGGAAGGGTTTTATATATGGAACAAATTAACACAAACAGAATAGTCAACATAACAAATGTAAAGCATATTCTGGGTCTGGACTTTGCATCCTGTAATCTCCAGAGATTATTGGGGAAATTGACAGACACTTGGAACTCACAAATTATTAGAAGGAAAAATTGGCCACATTCTCTGTCTACTGGTGAAATATACAGAATGTCAGTGATGTGAAAGTTTCACCTTTTTTATATCAAAGCAACTGTGAAAATCAAACTAGATGGTGCTGGGAATTCTGCTTTGCTACTCATAAATAGTAATTCCACACAGGGAGGAAGCACAAGCTAACAAGAAAATTTGTTACATGGCAGTTCATCAAGAATACATGATGTGATCAGAACTAAAGCTCTCCTGTTTTCCCTTCATCATCTGCAAAGCAATGCACTGACCCAAGTTAGGGCACACTTGTTCAGGCTGAAGTGGGTACTGGTTCTGGTTCTCAGTTCAAGAATTTCTGTTCATATATAAGAAATTATTGCCATGGGACATAGTTCTTCTGAGCTTCAGAACACAGAGTTTCTCTAAATTGGAGGAACTCTGGAGTGCATACATGACCCCATTTAGACACTTTAGCTAAAACTGCCACCAAAGGCAAAACTACAAATAGAATATATCTGGAACATTGGGTGGCCCCACAGAGACAGTTGTACAAGTCCATTATCCTGTGGCAGCTGTTACTTTACAGAATAAAGCAAATCCTTTTTATTAAAAATGCTCTCATTTTCTCTAAGTCATTGCTATTTATTGAACAGCACTCTACAGCTCTTAAATAAAACCAATAAGCCAATACTGCTTCTGCAACTACTTCAGATTTTAGTTTTATGAAACACTTGGGAAATTACATGAGCAGCTGTAAGTAAATTGCACAATTTCTTCTTCTACTGTCAAGAAAAGCCCGAATTAGTAGGTATTCTGTAGGCATATTCTGTACATTCAGACTAGCCAGTATCCTTCAATCGTCACATGTGGCTGTTTACAGCTGTGAATTAGAACCAATTAAAAACACAAGGGAAAAGTAGCATTGACTGTCTAACACTTAGATCTGTAAACTTGTAATAAATATTGACACAAATCTTAAGAAAATATGATTCTCTTTATTACTTTTTACATGTCAATTGTTCCAAATATTGGAAGGTTTCACATTCAGAAGCTCAAATTTTCTAAGGTGGGGTTACTTAGAAAAAAGAATTTTTCTTCCATGCACAGAATTTACACTTTGTAGTGCAGAAGGTCAGCCTGTGATCCAGTAGTATTCTCCAGTGTCAGTTGCTGAGTCCATATGTACAAGGAAAGATTTTTTTGTGTAGATAATCTGCCATTTTTCTGGTATTTTGTAGACTTTCTATCTCAAAAAATGGAATCTGGAAACAAAAAAAATGATTGCTGAAAATACCTTTTAATAAACAACTGCGTAAGACTGATGTTCATTAAGCAAAATTACACCAATACTTTTGTTTTAAAATTAAAGATTTATTCCTAAATGTACTATTTAGTTGTAAACGATCTGAATAGATATTACTGTAAAAAAAAGGAGTGATATCTATTACAGTTTAAGCTAAGATAAATATTATGGAGTTAGGCTTATGCAATAAGTGATGATAAGTGGAAAATAAAATCTCAAGAAACTAAAAGTAACAGTTTTCATTCAAAGTATGTTTAAAGAAAAATACCTCTATAAATTCAACAGGAAAAATAAAAGTTAAACTCTGTTGTGAAAATATTTACAATACAAATCAGCTTCTTTTTTTTAACTTCTCTTTTTAAACTCTAAACCTTTTCAAAAAAGTATTTAATTAAAAATTCCAGTTCTAATGAACTCTTACATAACATTTTCCTTTAATTGAAGATTTAAATCTTAATCAGTGAAGAAAAGTACTCTTCCAAATAGCAACTATGTGGAAAAAACCACAGACAGAATACACTGATTGATCCAGTGAAGAAAAGGGTATTTCTGTACACACTCAAAAAGGCAAAAACTAGGCAGAAAGAACCTAATATAGAAAGAACAAGACTACAGATGCTTTAGAAATTAATTGAAATTACAGTTTTACGTACTGTAATAGTTTACTTGTTTTCTTAGCCAGAGCAAAAGCACTGTCTTTGGACTTTACCTGCACAACTTCATAACCAAGTAACTGAAGATGTCTCTGCTTAATAGCTTCTTCTCCCAACAGATTGTGGCTATGGGCACAAAATCTATTTTGACCATCAACACACAGGGCAATTCTAAAATTAAGCATAAGTGTCATATCAAAAAAAACCTCAACAAACTCAGAACAGTCAGTTATTTTAATCACCACAACGACTGCAATTCCTAAGAAGCATGAGACAATACCTCCTTATGCTGAATCAGATGTAGGATGGGAGCTACCTAGTTCAGGATCATTTAAATCACTCAGTTTAAGGGTGGGAGGTGAAACACTGAAACTTAGTGAAACTGATCTGAAAAGCTTTTTAATTTGCTCTGAACAAAAATTACCACGCAAGTTAATGAGAGTTTGATATTCTTAATGCTATTATTAGTAAGCTGTTTTGAGTTCTTCTAGAAAGAAAAATGTAAAAAACTTTCCTCAGCTAGAAAACATTTCAGCAGCTAAATTTAACTTACTAATTTACCTGATAAATCCATTAGAGTTCAAGTTGAGTTTAAGCTATGTCTGTTTTAAGTTAAACCTTTACATATGGTTTGCAGCATGGATTATAACTATAGTTTTTCTTCTGGGTGATATAAATCCCATCAAATTAAACCATCAAATTAAAGGTTTGTATATCTACTGTTAAAAAGTTGCTTACCTTTTTTAGTATGTTAAGTATATTGTGACTTTATTTACTTTATGAAAGCTATTACTTAAAAAAACCAAAACATTAAAGCTCATTCTTAAGCATTTAAGCATAGGCTCATGGAAAGAACCTGTATTAATCTCTAAGTCTTGTGAAGGTGTCGTGGTCTCAGCTTAAACCACAACAGAAGGTTAAACTGGAGAAA